CCCCAAAACCCCAAAACCCCAAAACCCCAAAACCCCTATTTTTACGAGTAAACCTGATTATTAAATTATTATTTTGGAATGGAGTCATTACCCTCTCAAGAAGATAACAATCAGGTAAGATACAGCACTAGTGCATACTAGCACTGATAATTCCTTGTCAAGAGGTGAAGAACTTATTCAGGAGCTAGAATCAGCACTAGTATCGTCCAATCATTTGATTCTATTTTTGGAATTCTGATAGAATCCCATAGTCCAATTATAGTAAAATTTTATGAGAAGAAGATATTTGCGATCTTTGAGATTTCTAAGTTCTATTTATTCTCATACTCTAAACTTCAGCTTTACCTGGTGCAGGTTAATTCTTCTTAGGATTGAAAAGGTCATCAGCTGACACCTCTAGGAACAACAAAGGGTTCCTCAGAACATGACTTCAAAGGCATGTTTACTGCACTTCTAATATTTTTATCGAATAAAAATAATAATTCTTGTCATTTAGGACAAGAGGCTTATGTATGGTTTAGTTAGCTAATTCCTCAGGACTATTATTGAGAAAGTAAACTCTCTACCCTAAAAGTCTTATTGATGAAATTTCTCAACAACTTTCTGAATAAAGTTAGTGCTCTAGATATCTTAAGCTTGGTTTAAAGCTTGTTCTTAGCTCTCTAAATTTTAAAGTAGAACTCCATGCCAATTCTATTTAAGAGTAAAATTAGGATCATGAAGAATATATTAGTGAAATTAAGGGTCAGCAAACTTTATGCATTAGAATAGGACCTTAAGACTTCAGAATAAATTGGCTCAGATATTGCCTGGATTAGTCTATTTGAGCAGAAATATAAAGTTGGCATTCATCAAAATACATTTTTATCATTCTGAAGTGAGAATACTTAAAAAATCAAGCTTTTAATTATTTTAAAAAGGATTAGCATTCAGAAGATAAGTCAATTTAGAATTTTGGAATAGATAATAGCTCTTAGCTTCAAGCAGACTGTTAACATCGAGATATAGATCCCAGAAAATAGAGCCCATAGTTATACTTGAAATATGTTTACCAAACTTGGCATCTGTCTGAACATACTTCCTTACTTCGATTACCTCCACAAGACCAGACACCTGATGATGCAGTTGTTCTCAGGGTCGAGGCAGCTCTGGATTGAGGAAAACCAAAAGATTATTGAAAATATGCATGAGTGAATGCAATTAGTTGAGATCAGTGATGCGAATATGGAAATCGTCAGGAAACTGTAGGATTTTAAATTCCCACTCAACTTACCAAATCTAGGTTCAAACTGCCAGAAAGAATTCCAGCTGATAAGTCAAAGAGGCAGTCTCTGTAACTTTTGTGGCTAAAATCGTAGTGCATGAGCTTATACCACTTACAAGTATTTTAAGTTTGCGATCAGGGTGTCTGTCTCATCCTCCAGTAAAACTTATTAGCTTAAATCTATAGGACTCTCTTGTGAGAGCCAGTCTGAAGAAATCATTGAACTTCTTAGGAAATTCTATCCTCTCGGAAAACTTAGGGTAAGGTTTGGCTTATAAATTCCAGGTCGAGTCAGTCATGTTTTATAAGAGTCCGACTCAATATCACTACGCAGCTTTGGATGAATCAGTACTCAAGGAGACCAACGACACTGTTGATGCAGTCATCGGCTTATTAGGACTTGAATGTCAAGTCCTAGACTCTCAGAAATGTAAGGATTCCATGTTTTGTCTTTAAACTTTGATGTAGACTTGGCCCCTCCGATGGTTAAGCTCCAGAACAACTACATCAGAGGTTATAATAGGCTGTATCTAGAAAGAGATGTTGAAATTAGTACGGAATTTGTGCATCATCTTGTCAATAACATTTTTAAAACTCATATAGAAGAAGAATTGTTTGAATTGAGCTACCTTGGTTTCACGAGAGAATTCAATAAGCTCATTAGAACCAAAAGCACATACACTTTAGAACTATTCATAGGTAAGCACTGTGACCCATTTTAGATCAATTCATCACGCTTGGGAATCCTCTCCCAGAGTTTCTTGAAGGTAGGTTCAAAGCTATGACTTAGGGTTTGTACAAGATTACCTGCAATAATATTTCTGGGAGTTTTAGGGTTCAAAACCTAGCCAGAAATGCTTGACTTAAATCAAATACATTTTGGTGTTAAAAGCTAGTTTTATTCTAAGACTCTGGTTTGGATTAACAGCTTCTGCATTCTTTTTGTTCCAAATCTCTCTATTTTTAGATAAGAGAGAAATCATGTGTAAAATTAATTTTGATATGCATGAGTGTTCATAGTGTATGACAAGAAGTTCTAGACTCTGATAATCAATGTTATAGAAATTACCATAATTGCTTCAACTCCCTCTTATCAATCAGAAGACGCTAAACAACAGTGTGATGTCACTCAACTGATAGATGTAATAGAGCCTCAGCATAAGCTCAAGTTTATTTTCAAAGAACTCTCTTCGTTTGAGAGCAGGAACAACCTTTGTCTTGTCAGCAAGTTGAGGGAATTTGCTGGAGTTCAAGTCCATGCTGAATTTACAAACACAAACAAAGATGCCTTTATTCTCCACTGCTTACACTGAATGCTCTGCCTTAATGTTGAAGACGCCACAAAGACCACTTACTTCAAAAATGTGAGAATCGACTGTGGGGTCGAAGACATTTCTTTCGTTAGTGACAATGAGTACATATTAATTCGAAGTGTTTGCTCGCTCAAAGGAACAACGCAAGTAGAGTGTCCATCTGGAAGAGAATTTGCTACCTTTATTGATAGTTTCGATCTGATAAATGAGAAATCAACAATGATAGCAGTGAAGGTGCTAGATATTAGTAGCTTAGCACTGAACAAACATTTTGATGAATTTGTAAACCAGCCAGAAATGAAAAATGAAGAAGAGGAAAGCAAGCAAACTTGCCTAAATTTTGAAAATTGGCGCAAGTTGCCTAGTTTCCTCAATAATGATTCCTCAATGAAAGCTATTTTGAAAGGTATGCTATAGATAAAAATATCTAGTGAATGTTAAAGACCTTGAGATATTAAGATGTATTCCAAAAGGAGTCAAAATAAAAAGTAGGTTCTACTCTCATAGTATCTAGGTTTATCGTTGTCACTTCCAAAAACTCTGGATTTAGACCTCACAACCACAGTTTCTCTCATTGATGAGTTCTTAGATCAACTAAATCAGAAAAGACTATTTAAGCTTGTCATTACAGGCCTTCAAAGCACCAACCAAGTATTCTTGGAAAGGTTTATTGATGATTATTTGATAAAGAAAAACAATAAATTGACCGAGCTGGTTATCAAGAGTCCTCCAGGCAAGAACTTTTCACATAATATTTTCAAATCTTGTTAACTAATTCGCACTAGTTTGATAATTTATCCTAGAAGTTAGAAACTCTCTGCAATTCAACAAAATATCTGAGTTAGCTTAAATCTAAGTTGCTCTATAGATCTTTGGAAATTAGTGCAAAATCACTCAACGAAGAATGTTTATCTGTTGACTCTCCAGCCTCCAAAGGATGAGCAACTACAACGGCAAGAGGTCTACACAAAACTTGAAGGCTTTAGGCATAGAAGAATTGCTTATCGTAATTCTACTATTAACCACATAGGCGACGAAAAGCTTCTCAGCTGCAATTGTTGAGGAGGGGTTAATAATAATGAAATTCACAGATTTTATTCCAACAGCTTGAGATAGAATACATATTCATAAGTCTCAACTAATAATGCAAGCAGTGGGGTTTTGGGGTTTTGGGGTTTTGGGG